CTATCACTAAAACAGTTTTTAAAAAGAAAGTGACTAATCCGTAATCCGGTAATCCATCCACCTTAAAATAATGACTTCTTGGGGTTTTGTGCTTTTCTTTTTCTTTTTTTTTTTTTTTTTGCCAGAGAACAGGGAGGACCAAGCCCACTGAATATCCTTCCCACCCCACACAGTTGAAGATCCTCTTTCTTTTTCTTAACTCCTAGTTGTTTCTCCTTTGAAGTCAAAGCTGATTTTATTTCTAATAAATCAGATGGCTCTTTCTTGATTGTCACACATGGGATCAGAGGGCTGCCTTCTGCCCAGGGCCCAAGTTGTCACACTTTCCATATACAGGCTGCCCCGTCACGCTCCTGTGAGTCAACATGGGCAAAGGAGTACCTGCAGGGTGTTCCTCTGGTATCTGCACCACCAGATAGGTGGCTCTGTGGGCACTACGGGTGTGACAACACTTTCTTACTTCCAGCTTGTTAGTTTGGTGACCTCGAAGGTGGCTATTCTGTAATTAATGAAGGATGTAAGGTCCTTGGGGACTGGGGACATAGCTCAGTGATAGAGCACTTACCTAGCAGACGTGAGGCCCTGTTCCGTCCCCAGCACCACACACACACAAAAAGAATATATATTATTTTTAACTTAAAAAATACATCCACCCAGCACCCCTCCCCCAAAATATGTCCACCATTTGTTGTGGTTTGGATGTGAGGTGTCGCCCAAAAGCTCATATGTGAGACAGTGCAAGAAGGTTCAGAGGAGAAACGGTTGGGTTGTGAGAGTCTTAACCCAATCAGTGATTGAACCCCTGGCTGGGATTAACTGAGGGGTAAGTGAAGTGGTGGGGCGCAGCTGGAGGAGGGGGATTGGGGCGTGAATTGGGGTATCTATTTGGATCTGGCAGTGGCATCTCTGCTTCTTGATGGCTGTGGCGTGAGCTGCACCCCTGTGCCACCCTCTCCCGTCGTGATGTTCAGCCTCACCTCAAGCCCTGAGCAACGCAGCTGGCCTTCTATGGACTAAGACCTCTGAAACCATGAGCCCTTCAGGTAAACTCTTCCTCCTCTAAAATCATGCTGGTTGGATCCACAGCAGCAAAAAAAAGACTGACTGAAGCATCACTGCTAGGTGTATAAATGAGAGAAAATAAAAATACGGTCTCACAAACTCGTGCATGCAAATGAGTGGGTACCGAAGTATTATTCATAATAGCCAAAGGGTGAAAACAAACCAAATGTCTATAAACAGATGAATGGAATAGACAAACCTAGCCATGCCATGGAATAGTCTTCAGTCATAAAAAGGAATGAAGTATTGATGCATGCTACAACGTGGATACACTTTGAAAACTACACTAAATCAAAGAAGCCATGCATAAAAGGCCATAGATTATGTGAGTCCATTTATATGAAATGTCCAGAATAGGCAAATCTACAAAGATAGAAAACAGCTTGGTGGTTTCCAGGAGAATAGGAAGTGACTACTAGTGGGCACAGAGTTTCTTTGATGGTTTAGATATGAGGTGTTCCTCAAAAGCTTATGTGTGAGACCATGCAAGAGGTTTTAGGGATGACACAATCGGGTTATGAGAGCTTTGACCTGATCAGTGTGTTCATCCACTGCTAGGGGTTAACCGGGTGGGTAGGGTAGGGTAGGGTCATGGAGGTGGGCTGCTGGGGACCCGCCCCTGAGGTTTCTATTTTGTCCGTGGTGAGGGGAGCTGTCTCCCCACCCCCTGCTTCCTGGTGGCCATGTCCTGAGCCACTCTCCCCCACTACAAACTTCAGCCACGATGGCCTGCCACATCTTGGGCCCAGAGCCATGCAAGTGGCCGTCTGTGGACTGAGACCTCTGAAATGGCCAGCCCCAAATAAACTTTTCCTCTTTTAAAATCGCTCTTGTCGGGTTTTTCAGTCGCAGCAGCATAAAAGCTGACTAAGGGGTTTCTTAAAACCACACCGACCTCAAACAGAACTCTCAACTCTTTAAAGGTGGGGAGAGAGCTCCCCAGCACTCTGAGGGGGGACGACGGGCCCCGGTGGAGGCGGAGGGAAAGGTCCGGCCACATTGGACCTTCCTGTCGTATGGCAATTTGAAAGCGGGCAATGAGGTCTGGGCTCCCAGAACTGAGAGCTCATTATCATGAGTCCCCATTGTCCCTGCTGGGATAGCCAGTGAGGGTCAGCCCCAAGGGACCCTTGACAGCCCAGGTTGTCATTGGAGGCTAAGGGGCCTCCACCCTGAGGCCCCAGGTGAGCAGAGGAGAGAGAGCCAGGCACAGGGAGAGGCCCGGAGGCCAGAGGAGATTCAGACGGCAGCAGGGTTCTGGGGAGGGGAGGGCAGGTCAGCAGGGCCAGGCTGAGGGAGCCTGGGCGGCCAAGTTGAGCTGCTCCCTGGGGCCCCGGGGGCCACTAGGAGACTTTGAGGAGTGGGGAGGATGTGGGTCTGGTATCCTCTGTCTGTGGGGCGTGAAGTCTGAAAACCAGAAACTGGGTCCCCGCGCCCCAGCCAGGATGACCGCGGTTGGGGCTGGGGAGGCGTGGTGGGTTGAAGGGTGGCCTCCCAAAAGAGACCTTCGTGTCCTGGAACCTGGGAATGTTACCTGACTTGAGATGTAACTAAGTTGCCTGGGTGTGCCCCCAATCCAAGGGTAGAGCCGAGCACGAGAGCCCACGTCTAATAGTTACCCCAGTTCCTGAGGAGACTGAGGCAGGAGGACTGTAAGTCGGAGGCTAGCCTGGGCAGCTTAGCAAAACCCTGTCTCAAAATAAAATTTAAAAGGACTGGGCATGTAGCTCAATGGTAGAACCCTCCTGAATTCAATCCTCAGAATCCCTAGAAGAGAGAGAGAAACAGACAGACAGACTGACACAGAAGACAGACAGGCAGAGAAGAGGAGCAGGTCGTATGAAGATGGAGGCAAGAGATTGGAGTGATGTGGCCGCAAGTCAAGGACACCTGGAGCCACCAGAAACTCTTAAGAGACCAGGAAGGATCCCCTCTGCAGGTTTCACCCTGATTTCAGATTTCTGGCCTCCAGAATCGTGAGAGTCAATTCTGTCTCTGAGGCCCCTGTGCTGGTGGTGATTTGTGACAGCAGCCCTGGGGAATTAACCAGGATAGAAGGAGATCATCCGATTCTAGCGATTTTTTGGAAGTAGAAATACCCTCCCCAGCTGCTCAGGTCTCACTGAGTTGCTGGGGTTGGCTTTGAGCTCTCGATCCTCCTGCCTCTGTCTCCTGAGCCGCTGGGATGGCACCTGGCCTTCAACTCCACTAAACAGATTTGGGTCTTGTTCCTCCTACTTGGAGTCACCTGGGATGGAGGGCAGCGGCCAAGGGTGGGGAGGGTGTTCAGGGTTGGGAGGAAATTCAGGAATCAGGATCCCTGCTCGGAGAGGCTGTGGGGAAAATTTGGACCCCACAGATGGGAATGATCACCCCTGAGACTGGGCAAGTGGCTCCTCCCTGTGAGACGGCATGGTAGCAGCCACCCTGCAGCCAGGACCTAGGAGTGCACGGTGGGAGTGCCTGGCACACAGCAAGCACTCAGCACACAGCGGCCTTGCTTATAAATTTGTAGAAAGAGCCAGGCACGCCTGTCACCCCAGCAGCTCAGGAGGCTGAGGCAGGAGGATTGCAAGTTCAAAGCCAGCCTCAGCAGCTTAGGGAGGCCCTAAGCAACTCAGGAGACCCTGTCTCTAAATAAAATTAAAAAAAAAAAAAAAGGGCTGGGGATATGGCACAGTGGTTAAAAGCCACAGGGTTCAATCCAATCCCTAGTACCAAAAAAAAAATCATAAAACCTTAGAGAGTGTGTGAAATACCATATACCATTTCTGTTGGCAAAGGGCCTGGATCCTCAGAACCATCTCCACTAGCTTCACCGGTAGCTGAAAAAAGTGACAACATAAACATAACAACATGGTGTTATGGCTTGAATGGTGTCCCCCACAAAAGGTGCTGAAGTCCTAACCCCAGACCTGTGACTGTGACCTTATTCGGAAACTGAGTCTTTGCAGATGATCTAGTTGAGACGAGGTCACAGGGGGTAGGGGTGGGAGGCTATTCCCCTGTAACTGTGCCTACTTATTTAACTTAGGGGAATTTGGATACAGAGACAGACGTCCGTAGAGGACACAGGAAGAAGAAGGCCACGCCATGTCAGGGAATGCCGAGGCCACCAGAAGCCAGAGGAGAGTCACGGCGCAGATTCTCCCAGCTTTCTGTTGTTCAGGTTTGGGGCACAGCAGCCCAGGAGGTGGATACAGGTAGGGGCGAGATGGATCTCACCTTCTGAGGACCCCAGGCCCCTCGGGGCCTGCAGGTGCACACCCGGGGCTCAGAGGAGACGCGCTAGGTGCCGTGGCCACCCCCTCCAGCCTCCAGTCAACGTCCAGGCCCGTGGCCAGGGCGCTGCTCCTCTCTACCCAGCGCCCAGCAGGAGGGCACCAGACACTTCCACAGCAGACGTCTGGGACAGATTTGGAAATTTTGGCAAAGGGGTTTCAAGTTAGGGCCCGTCCCAGTCAGTGGGGAGCCACCATCTGGATCCTGTTTGCTGTCCCCTGGCAGGGAATCTGAGCAGAGTTGTGGAAAGTGTCCAGAGAAGAGGGTCACTCCCTCCACGGCTAGCGCTCTGGGAAGGTGGCGGGTGGCGGGGCAGGGACAGCAGGCCCTACAGTCAGTGGTCCTGGGTTGAATGCTGGCCCTCTCATTTTCCGAGTGACTTTGGCAGCTTCTGTCCCTCTTTGTCTTGATTTTCATATCTATAAAATAAAAACAATTTACCTCAAAATGTTACTGTCAGGATTCAATAGGATAAGGCAAATAAGAGGATGTTCCATGAAGGGGGATCGTAATTTTTTTTTTTTTAAATGGTGGAAAAATATACTGTCTTAGTCAGTTTTCTGTGGCTATAACAGAATACCAGAGAATGGGTCAGTGATAAAGCAGAGAAAGTTCAAGAGGCTGGGAAGTCTAAGCACCTGGCACCAGTGAGGGCCTTGTGCTGGGACAACTCACGGTGGAAAGTGAAAGGGCAGGTGAGCACCACCCTGTAAGAAAGGGAGGGAGCACGAGGGATAGCCTCGCTTTATAACAACCCACTCCCATGACAGTATGAACTCGCTCACTTCCATGAGAATTAGCACAGTCCCCTGAGACCTGCACTAGTCCCTCTTAACTCTGACACCACCACAGTGGCAACTCAATGTCAACATGAGTTTTGGTGGGGACAGACCACATCCAAACCATAGCATCTTCATAACCCAAAACAGACCATTGTAAGCCCATGGGGTTAAGCATGTATGCATTAGTGGAAACCATCTCCACTGTTCTCTAGAACTTTTTCATCTTCTCCAGCTGGAACTTTATACCCATGCAAGAATAACTCCCACCAGGTGTGGTGGGGCATACCTGTCACTCCAGCGGCTCGGGAGGCTGAGACAGGAGGATCGTAATTTCAAGGCCAGCCTCAGCAACTTTAGCAAGGCCCTAAGCAACTCAGAGTGACCCTGTCTCTAAATAAAACATAAAAAGGGCTGGGGCTGGGGGGCTGGGGTTGTGGCTCAGTGGCAGTGCGCTTGCCTAGCGTGCATGAGGCACTGGGTTCCATCCTCAGCACCACATATAAATAAATAAAAAATAAAGGTATATCAACAAATAAAAAAAAATTTTTTTTTTAAATGGGG